TTGGGTATCAAATCTGTTGTTGTCCAAGTCAGGACCCAGTGAGCTTTAAGATGGTGCTGCGCCAGCAGAAATGGGGTAGTTAACCCCCTGGAGCACATTGTTTTTCCCCAAAGGCCCATAAATGGCCCTTGGTTCCCAGGCTAACCCCACCATGGGGTCCGTATCAAGGGGAACTTCACCCCCGCTGGCTTCGCTGACCTGCAGCTCCCTCTGCACACCCCAGCAGTTCACATCGTGTTGTTAAGTGGCGGGAGCATCGCATCTCCTCGGACCAATCACAACAGGCAGGATCCGCCAGGAGAGGCTGTGATAATTCCTGTGTTTATTCAACAAACGTCTACTGTGATTGGACGCAGGCTCAGTAATCCTGCTCTGAAACCCTGCCTTTCCCGCTTCCTAGCTGTTTGGCCTCAGGCAACTTATTTAACCTCTCTGGGCCTTGTTTTTTTTTTTTTTTTTTTTTTTTCCCATCCAAAAATGGGAACGCTAATAATACCTGCCTCGTGAGGCAATTGTGACCAATTAAATTATCAGTTTGGTTAATTGTGACAAAACTGTCAAGAGCCTAGGACAGTGCCTGGTATGAAGAAGCAGCTGATAAATGTTAGCTTATTAAATGATAAATAAGCGTAAAATGTTGTTACGCTTATATGCCAGGCACTGTGCTTGGCCCAGGAGATGCAACAGTGGGCAAAAGAGACAAGGGTTCCTTCCGGAGCTTCTAGGGAAAGAGCGATGTATCAAGCAACCATGTGTGCATTGGAGAGGGGCACAGTGTCCTGAGATGAAGGAGTGGGGCTGGTGGTGAGGAAAGGCGTTTTCTGAGGAGATGGCACATGAACTGGGTCTGAACTGTGAGTAGGGGTTACTCAGGCAATGAGCAGTAAGGAATGCTCCAGGCAAAAGGAACCGTACGTGCAAAGGTCCTGTATCGGGAAGAAATGTAAGAGGAGCTAAAAGAAGGTTCTAGAACAAGGTGGCATGTGGATGAGAAGAGCTGGAGAGGAAGAGGCGGCTCAAGGCATCGACTACCATGTCAGGGATTTGAATAGTCTAAAAGCAATGGGGAGCCATTGAATTCTGCACAGGGAGAGAGTTGATCTTGCACTTGGAGCAAGGATTATGCATTGGAGACTGGGGGCCCGAGACCTGTAGCTGCTCTTAAGTTTTAGGATGGAATGACTCAGGGAGTCAGAGGCGAGCGATTGGGCTCTGCCTACATCTGCAGCCCAGTACGCTCTGAGACTCATGGATTTCCTGCATTGTTTTACACTAAGTGTTCGTGCCTCCACTTTCCAGATGAGACGATTTCAGAGAGCTCAAGTGAATCCCCGAGAGCCACACAGCAAGCTTAAAGTAAGGCTCCCGTTCTCCTCACTCTCAGTCCTGTGCTGTCCTCCTGGCTACATTCAGTGGCCCTGGATGGTGGCTTTTGACCTGGCCACTAATCTGGAGCCCCCCCAGAGGGCAAGGACCGTGTGTCCTATGTGCGGCTCATTCCAATGCCTGGCACTTGTCAGGGCTCGATAAATGTGCCCCACTCTTGTGGGGACCCGTGTTTCATTCTGCCAGTTGCAGTTTGCTTCTCCCCACAGCCAGGGCCCTCCATCTTTCTAGGTCGGGGCCGGCCTGTGGGACAAGTCTGGCCCTCCGCCTGGTTTTGCAGGCGGTTTTCCTGGTGCCCAGCTGCACCGATTCGTTATGTACGCACTGTGGCTGTTTCCACGTGTACCACAACGGGGCTGAATCTTTGAGACAGAGCCACAGAGCTAAAAAGATTTAGTCTCTGGCCCTTTACAGAAAAAGCCCCTGCTGATATTCTAGGGAAAGGGGTTGCCCTTCCGGGGAGTTTAGTCCAATGTCTGAGGACGTTTCTAACCCCCCTCCAGAGAATCCTTCAGGGTCAGGCATTTGAAGAGCATTTGAGGAAGTGACGCGACCGGCCCATTGCTGCCTCCAAGGGCCCTTAGGAAACCACGACTGGAAGCCTCCAGAAACACAGGGCTGGGGCGTGGGAAGGGCCACTCCCTGAACACCCCAGAAGGGTGGAGATAGACCAGGCAGCCAACGTCTCGTCATCCTGAAATCTACGGTGTCCATAAAGTCCTCGCGCTGCTTAAAATCTCTGGTTCTGGATAATAAGGTCAACATATCAATTGTTATACATATTTTTTCTGGTTAAAAATATAGGGAAGGAAGCTGGGTGGGCAAGAGGAGAGCCACTCATCGCTGGGCCGCTCAGAGCGGAAGCCTGTACTCTTCCCGCGCCCGCCCTGAGCGCCCGCCTTCGGCTGCAGCTCTGCTCCTTTCGCATCTCTACGCCTGCTTTTCCACTTGCGGGGCCTGAGCGCTTCGGACATGTGACTGTAACACCCGCGTCACACGTCATCGGGGGCAGGTTTCTGGTAGGGTGGCACTCACACGCTTGTTCCCAGGGGTCCTCTCACGTTAAGCACCACGGCTCCCAGCCTGGAAGGCGTTTTTCAGGGCCCCGCTTGCCGGCGTGGAAACCCACTCGCTCTGAAGGCTTGGACCTCACAGGTGTTTGGTGCCAGGGGACGCGGCTTTGGGGTCTCCGCACGGACCATGTGAGCCGGATTGCTGGTAGCATTTGTCCCTCTACAAGGTCCATTCGGCTGTGACAGTCTTCCCTTGGAGGAGGTGACCTGTCCCTGCGATGTTCCCTTCCTTCACTCGGGCGCTTGCGGAGAGCACGCACCGCACACAGACACTCAGTGAGGACGATCACGGCCAGGGGCCGAGAGAGACATACACACAGAGAGAGAGAGAGAGAGAGAGAGAGCGCACAAGACAGCTGGGCATTCTTCTGGCTGCCAGACCTGGCCCTGCCACCGACTCTGTGACCTGGAGCAAAGCACAGACTCGCTTGGAGCCTCAGTTTCCCCATCTCCAAAGACTCACGTCACATGAGCTCATACTATGCACAGCGTCTGGCGTGTGGCAGAGGCCAAGCCAAGCAAGGCTCTAGAGAAGTGACTTGCCGCTTGCCCAAGGTCACACAGGCCATGAGAGGCCAGTTATTGCCACCCCCAACTCCCCCCCCGCCCCGCCGGCCCTGCGAGTTGTCCCCTGTAAGGACACTGCTCCCAGATGGTTTGCGAAGCTCACAGATGGCATAAAGGACCAGGGGTGGGGCCTGTGGTACAGTTTCCTTTTCCCCAGGCTGTGCCTGACCCTCCAGATAAACAGCTTGTGGCCGCATCTGGGACGGGGAGGAAGGGATGCATCTGGGGGATGTGGGGCTCTGAGTCCGTTGGCTCCAGACCCCGCCCCCACGGCCGCTCCTTCCCGCCCAGGGCCGCAGGTCGGGGGGAGCAGCCTCTGAGAGCCCACTCAGAATTTAGCAAAGGACCAGCTCTCCCGGCCTCTTGGCCTGGAAGGGGCCAGGTCCCGCTCTAGGGTGACCTGGTCATTTTGGTTTGCCAGCGACGTACCCAGTTTTAAGCCAGGGGGCACCTTCAGTGTCAGGCAGACCGGGGAGGGAGTTCACCCCCCCCTCGCCCTCTGCCTCTTCAGGACCTCACTGTCGGTTTTAGAACTGTGGACCTGGTAACGGACTCTGGTTCAGGATGAGCTGCTTTGAGGGGTGGGGACCCAAGGCGGTCCGCAGCGGACAGACTGTCCTGTCGCTGACACGCACGTGAACGCGGGCTGGAACACTAATCCGGAACGCCTACGACCCGACAGTGGCCCCCGGCCCAGCGTGGGTCTGTCTCGAGCTTCTCGGTCCCTGTTCCTGAGGGCTGGCTATTTCCAAAGTTGCTAGGGAAGGGTGGAAAGCTCTAACCCCCCTTTTGGGGCCTCAGTTTCCCCATCTCTGCAGACTGGGGGAGTTTTTGGTCCCTTCTAGGATGGAGGCTCTATCATGGTGAACACCCACTGGGTCTCCAGTTTTCATTTTTTTAAAGAATGTTTTAATGTTTGTTTCTTTTTGAGACTAAAGGGGAGAGAGAGAGAGAGGGAGGGAGAGAGAGAGAGAGCACGAGTGGGGGAGGGTCAGAGAGAGGGAGACACAGAATCTGAAACAGGCTCCAGGCTCTGAGCTGTCAGCACAGAGCCCAACACGGGGCCTGAACCCACAAACTGTGAGATCAAGACCTGAGCCAAAGTCAGACGCCCAACCGACTGAGCCACCGAGGCGCCCCAGTTTTCTTTTTATAATGTTTATTTCTGAGACACAGAGAGACAAATCATGAGCAGGGGAGGGGCAGAGAGAGAAACACAGAATCTGAAGCAGACTCCAGGCTCTGAGCTGTCAGCACAGAGCCCGACGCGGGGCTCAAACCCACGAACTGTGAGATCATGACCTGAGTGGAAGTTGCACACCCAACTAACTGAGCCACCCAGGCGCCCCCAGTCTACTTCTCCCCCCTCTACTACCCCTTGGAAGGCCGTCCTGACAGCCCCCACCCCTGCCCAGGGTGGTTTCGGGGCCCCTCCCTCCATCACCTCGCGGGGACATTACTGTGTGTACCGGTCTGTTCACTCGTTCCCCTGCCAGCCTTGCCCAGAGTCCGGACAGGGAAATAAGACCAGCACGTGTGGCCCTGCTGGAATTCGCGGTCGCTCCCCCTCGGAGAAGTCACTGATTGGAGCTGAAAGGACCCCGGGGCGCCTGAAGATGGCTCTGCAGAGAGTGACTGCATCGCGCTTGCAAACCAGGAAGTTGTGCGTTCGGCGGTTTCTGCCGCCCCAACTCCCTTCTCGGACTGGAGTCCAGGACCATCCTTATTTGCATCTGGTCCCTCCGTTCCCTCCAGGGCAGGGCCGCCTCAGCCCTGCCCTCCATCACCGCGGGGTCACGCTGGGGTCCTCCTTCACCAGCCCTCCCCGGAAAGCTCCCATGTGCTTCTGGGTGTTTTGGTGGCCACAGGACCCCGAGAGTGACACTGGGCTCGGCAGATCCCCGTCTCTCACTACCCACCCAGTCTCAACCAACGTTGTCACCAAAGCTGTCACAAACAAGGGGGTGTGGCCTGTCACGTGGCCCCGTCTGAGTAACCACATTCTCGCTTCCTTCTTTCACATAGGCCACTGAAGGTCGGCGGGGTCCGGGACCACGGCCCCGGGTGCCACAGCAGTGCCCCGTCACGAAGGTGGAGAAGCCGCTTCTCTGGGCTCACGCGGCATCTGTCCCATGGTCTGCTGAGCGCGGTAAGTGCCGGCTTGCAAAGCCACAGGGAGTGGCCCGGGGGCTGGGGGGCCAGCAGGCCTGGCCTGCCCGACAGCCGAGGGCAGTCCCGGGGCAGGACCTGAGCTCCGAACCAGAGCTCAGGGGGCTCAGGATGGAGGGTGCGGCCTTATTCTGTGGTCTCTTCCTGATCCGGATCCTGCTCCCTCAACTTGCATCCCGCCCTCCCTATCAGGTCTGCTGGCAGCTGCCGGCGTGGAGAGGGTGGGGTTTCTGAGTATGAAAAAAATCAGAAAAATCAGAAGCGTTCCCCTAAAAGTTGCACTACCCCCCCTTTCAATACAAGGCATGGGGAGGTGAAGGGGCCTGCTCAGAGCAGAGCTGGGGTTAGGGCCGGGCGATTCCAGAAAGGGGGTGCAGGTGCAAGGCTGTCCGGAAACCTCTGAGGCTGTGGGTCCATAAATATATGGTCTCCGAAGCTGTGTTCTTTTTTTGTTTTCCTCTCACTTTGTTTGTTTATTTATTTATTTATTTGAGAGAGCGCGCAATCAGGGGAGGGGCAGAGAGAGAGGGAGGGAGAGAGAATCCCAAGCCGGCTCCAAGCTGTCAGCGCGGCGCCCTGCACGCAGGGCTCAAACTCACGAACCGTGAGATCTTGACCTGAGCCAAGATCAAGAGCCAGGAGCTCCACTGGCTGAGCCCCCCGGGCGCCCCTCCAAAGCTGCCTTCTTCACACTTTCGCTTCTCATAAAGCTGAGATGATGACGCTGGTCCATACCGAATCATGAAAACATCAGAATTAGGACACTAACTAATATTGCTAGCGAAAGAGAAAAGCATCATCAGAATTAGAATACTTTTAGTAATTTGTATTTGGGGTGCTTTAGGGGCATAAAGGAGAATGGGGGAGGTAGTACCTAAAGCTATGGCCCCTGATGCGTGTGCACACGTGCATGCGCATGCACACATGCACACGCACACACACACCATAGACAATGATCTAGGTCTCCAGTGGCCTGGAGTTCTCTTCCTTCCCTCCTGGATCGTCTTGTTTTCCTCCTCTCCCATCTCTGACTTTGAGCCCCCCAAGACCAGGCCTCTCAGTGGGCAAGGTGCCCAGGAGGTGCCCCCAGCCCCAAACCCCTTGGTGGCTTCCTTTGGGGCTTGCCTGGCCACACCCAAAGTGGTAGCAGCCGTCCTCACCAGGCTAGGCCAGCAGCCAGGGGCTACTGAAACCGGATAGCAGAAGGGACCCGGCTGGTCAGGGAGCGTCTCCAGGGAAGGCCAAGCGGAAGCAGAGCCTTCAGAGGGGCCGGGAGTCATCCAGGAATGCTGTGCCACCTTTTGCAGATGGGAAAACCTCGGGCGGGCTGTGGGGGGTGAGGGACAAGCAGCTGCCCACGGTGGCCGGTCCCGGATACGCTGCGGCCCCATCTGGTGGCGGGACCCTCACGGAGCCCACGGCCACCCTGGCTCTGGCTTCTCAGTTCTCAGTCTCTGCGGGGTTTGAGCAAGGAGATAGATGGGGGAGGGGGGATGCACCTCAGGCTAGAAGGAGGTAGGATGGCCAGAGTGTGTCTGTGTGCCTGTCCAGCTGTCTGTCTCCACACTTGTTCAGACAGTCCTCACTTGTTAAACTAAAACCAGGGTAGTTCCCTTTGGATTCATGTGTGCAAAATAGCTGACCTCCTCCGGACCAGGCTAGCCAATTCGGGGTCCCAAAGGTGAAAGTTAGTTTTCTGGGGGGAGGGGTAGGTGGGCCAAACCCCCAAATCTTGGCCATCGTGGTGACTTGTGTTTCCACAAAGGCTATGGAACAGCAAACAGGTGTGTCTGCGGTATTCAAATACGGGGGGCCGAGGAGCGTGGCTCAGTGGGTTGAGCATCTGACTCTTGATCTCAGCTCAGGTCTTGATCTCAGGGTCGGGAGTTCAAACCCCCAGCCCTCCCCTGCCCGCCCCCCCCCCCGCCCCCTGCCCCGGGTTCTCATCTGCTGCTGCTGCTGCTGCTACATGCAGGGACCTACTTCAGAAAAAAAAAATTTAAGGGGAAAAAGGTCTGAAAGGGCTGCTCTCTGGGGGCAGGGAGATGCTGAGAAAAGGTGGGGAAGTGCAGGCACCGTGCGGGAAGCCCCAGGGCACATGTCCGGGCACTTGCTTGCTGGTGGCCTCTGCCCCATTCATGAGGCCGCATTTAATGAGCCCCCAGGAGGCCAGAGGAGATTGAAACCTGGATAGCGGAAGGGGGGACCCAGTGGATACTGCCCTGTACGAGCTTGTGGCCGCTAAGTGCCTGCCCCTGGGTGTGTGGTGTGAACAGCAAGGCCTCTCCTGTCCCGCTTGGAGCTTATGGGCCAATGGGAATAGATTTTTAGACAGTAAACATTTTATTTATTTTTTATTTTTTTATTTTTAACTTTAATGTTTATTTTTGAGAGAGAGACAGACAGAATGTGAGCAGGGGAGGGACACAGAGAGAGGGAGACACAGAATCTGAAGCAGGCTCCAGGCTCTGAGCTGTCAGCACAGAGCCTGACACAGGGCTTGAACTCAAGAACAGCAAGATCATGACTTGAGCCAAAATCAGAGACTTTAACCGACTGAGCCACCCAGGTGCCCTATTTATTTTTTTGAGAGAGAGAGAGCGAGCAAGAGAGAGAGCATGCATGATGAACAGGGGAGGGGCAGAGAGAGAGAGAGAGAGGGAGAGGGAGAGAGAGAGAGAGAGAGAGAGAGAGAGAGAGAATCTTAAGCAGGCTCCATGCCCAGTGTGGAGTCCGACATGGGGCTCGATCCCACAACCATGAGATCATGACCTGAGTAGAAATCAAGAGTCTGGGGCACCTGGGTGGCTCAGTCGGTTGAGCGTCTGACATCAGCTCAGGTCATGATCTCACAGTTCGTGGGTTTGAGCCCCAAGTCAGGCTCTGTGCTGACAGCTCAGAGCCTGGAGCCTCCTTTGGATTCTGTGTCTCCCTCTCCCTCTGACCCTCCTCTGCTCACGCTGTCTCTCTCTCTCTCTCTCTCTTTTTCTCAGAAATAAATAAAAAACATTAAAAATTTTTTTTAAAACAGAGTCAGATGCTTAACTGACTGAGCCACCCAGGCGCCCCAAGTAAACAAACATTTTAAACGGTTTGAACAATGGAAATGACTCTGCCTGAGCAATCCAGGGTGGCTTCTTGTAGAAGGTGCCGTTTGCTCGACTCTGGAGAATAGATGAGACGAGGCTGTGACTGTGAGGTGGATCTGGAGCAAGAGCAGCCAGGTTCAAGTTCCTGAGCCCTCTCTTCCTGGGTTTGTGACTCTAGGTGCCAAGTGGGCCTCAATTTCCCCATCTTTCACATGGAATTCACAGAGGAGGTTGTAGGGCCTGAATGAGCTAACAATTCATGTATAGCTCCCAGGTCAGTGCCTGGAACCTTGTCTGCACTGGACACGTGTGATTTGCAAACCAGGGATGGGCGAGGGCGTGCTGTAGACACAGTTGTCTCGGGCTCCCTGTCCCGGCCCTCCCCCACAAGATCAGAGGTTATGTCAGAACTATCCCTGGGTGGGGGGTGTTTCAGGGAGATGGCCCTAAATGCAGAATGACAAGGACAACAGCCGGCCATTATTGAGCACATAATGTGTGCTGAACACTCCGCCTGAGCCAGCTCACTTCAACCCACAACCGCCCCCCGAAGTGGTACCATTGTCCTTGTATTCCAGATGAGGAGCCTGTGGCTCAGACAGGTGAGTTCGGTCGCCCAAGGTCACACAGCGTGTAAGGGCCAGAGAGCTGGGACTGGATCTCGTTTGACTGGATCGGCTCGGATCTGATCCTGAGCTGGGCCAGGGCCTCTCCTGTTCACCAGCATCGAGAAATGCCCTTAGGTCCGAGTTAGAGGGCCCCTGGGCCTCGGTTTGACCTGCTTGCTAATCTGGAAGCTTCCCTTCTCTTGGCGGCTGTTTAACCCGCATCCTGAGCTGCTCAGTCTTTTAGAACCTCAGGTTCCAGACTCCGGAGTGCCGGGATCCCTGGGATCCGAGCTTCTGAATGCAAAGTCCGAAGCACCTTGCAGTGCCCCGGCCACGTCTCCCCAGAGCATTTCAGGGCGGCCATCTCTGGGGCAGGGCGTGGGCCCCCGCCAGTACAGCTTGGGTGGGGCTCGGCCAGAGCACCCTGGTTTTAGGGTGAAAGACAGGAAACGGGCCGTGTCTGACCCACTGTGTTAGGCAAGCAGGAAGACAGATAGGATGTGACAGCTCTCCGCCCCTCTCTCGGAGCCCCCCCCACCACGCCCCACACCCCCCGCCCTGTGGTAAGTGACCGTTTTCCTGCCTGGGGTGGGGGGGAGACAGGTGTAAACAGGGGTTCATCGGTCTGAAGAACTGACTTCACTCTTCTGAGCCTTGACGTCCTGATCTGTATAATGGGGATTGTAAAGGCCAGGGCCGGAGTGGAGGTGAGTAGGGCGGTAAGATGGTCCAGCCGGGGGAGAACGGTGTGCCGCTCTCATTCCGCTACCGCTTATCTTAGGTCAGGATTCTTAGGTTAGGAGGGAGGCCGCCGTGCCCGTACCTTCCCTGACTCGGAGATTTCTGTTTCCTCTGCTCCTCCGTCCGGCAGCCCCGAGAGGCTCTCCCAGTGAAACACTCCCTGCGGGAGGCAGTGTCAGGGACCTTCCCTGCGCCATGCCATTTGATTCTCAGAACCATTCTTTGAAGCAGTGTCGCCCATTTTACAGATTAGGACACTGAGGCTCCGAGAGGGTCCGCGAGGCTCAGGTGACACAGCCGCTGAGCTGAGCGGTCTCTTCTCCACCCCAAGTTGCCTCTGCAAGCAGGGGAGGTGGGGACCGGCACAGGGAGAGGGCAGGTGAGGGGGAGAGCTCCCTCCATACCCTCCTCCCCGCCTCCGGGCTGCAGCAAGTCAGGTCCAAGGCGCCTCTTCCGCCCTGGAACAGGCAGGTGGGGACTTTTGTTTTTGTTCCTATCCTCTCTGCTTCCAGGAAGTGGCCGAGGGCTCTGCCTTCCAGGAACCGAGAGCTGCCCGGGGGGAGGGGGGTGTGAAGGGTACAAGTCTTCATAATTTTGAAATAGTATCCAAACTGGCAGCTTCTTCCTAAAGATCCCCCCACCAGGAAAGCAGGGCCCAGGTTAGGCATGTACTCTACCCCCAGGCAGGAACCCCACCCATGTGCAAAGAAACTGCCTCCTGAAGAGGGAGGCAAAGAAGATGCACATGCATGGGCGGTGGGGGGGGGTGCATTTATTAAGCACCTACTTGGGGGGGCGTTGGAACGATGGGAGTTCGGAGCCCACGGCCAAAAAAGCTTTCTCGAAGACGTCTTTGGTGCAAAAAGGTGATTTTGTTGAAACAGGGACAGGGCCCGCGGGCAGGAAGGGCTGCACTGGGGTTGTGAAGAGGGTCTGGAGTTGGGGGAGGTAAGGACACAAGGGAGGCCTCCAAAAGGACTTTGAGGTGCTGGAGAGGCCTCCGAAGACACCCGAGGCCTCAGTGCTGTGCAGCCAAGGTTGTTTTCCCTCCAGGGAGGCGTGAGCTAGGACGGCAGGGGCTCCTGGAGGAACGTTCTCGTCTGCACTTGCCCGTGGGCTGCAGGTTCTAAGTACATGTAATCCTACCTGCGTGTCCCCACATTGCTGAGGAGCGAGGGTGAGCAGGGCTCCAGGAAACTGAGTCTATAGGTTCCTGGAGATGAGGCTGTTGATAAGATTGCCTTTTTTCTTGTAATTTACCAAGACATTTGTAGACGGGTGGGTCCTGTATGACTGTGAGCTCTATCAGCTAACCATTGGTTTTCTTTCCTTTGCTCCTAGGCAGCCGGGAGTGCCTGAGGAATGTCACAGGCATCCCACCTGGGGGGGGGCGGGGGGGGTTGCTAGCTCAGGCTTGGCCCTCAGCTCGCCTTATGGCCCCTCCTCATACTGGGACCCTGGAACTTTTGAATCCATTATCTTGTTGCATTCCCTTAACAGCTCAACGAGATAGATGTGCTTTGTTATCCCCATTTTACGGATGAGAAAACCGAGGCTCAGAAATTCAAGGCCTTACAGCTTGTATGGGACAGAACAGAGACCTGAACATCTTTTTGCCTGGCCCCATAGCCTGTTCTCTCAATGCTGTGCCCCACGTAGCCCTCAGGATATACGGGGCTGACCTTTCTGAGGGAGATGGCCTTCAAGGTCCTCCTTATTCTCAGTCTGCCTTCCTCTCAACTGGGTCCCAACCCCAGCCATAGATACAACAGGCTCAGGTCTCTTCCAAGCCTTTGATCCTTCTACCCCCTCAGCTAGGTCAGATTTCTCCACAACACCTTCCTGAATCTTCACTGGGTTCCAGTCTGATCTCTGCCAGCTGTGTGCCTTTGGGCAAGTTGCTTTACCTCTCTGAGCCTCATTTCTCCTCAGTAGAATGAAGATAATTGTGAGTGATGAGGTTTTGGAGTGATGGTGGGGTTCAGAGCTGACGGCCAAGAAAGAATTCTTGAAGACGTCTCTGGTGCAAAAAAGGTGATTTTATTAAAGCACGGGGCAGAGGCTGTGGGCAGAGGGAGCCGCGCTGGGGCTGGTTACTGGTCATATACTATGGAGTTGGGGGAGGTAAAGTCAAGATGAAGTTTCTCTCTTTTTTAAATTTATGGACTGTTTCTTTATTTTTGAAAGAGAGAGAGACAGACCATGAGCAAGAGAGGGGCAGAGAGAGAGGGAGACGCGGAATCCGAAGCAGGCTCCAGGCTCTGAGCTGTCAGCACAGAGCCCAACATGGGGCTCCAGCTCACGAACTGTGAGACCATGTCCTGAGCTGAAATCAAGAGTCAGATGCTTAACTGGCTGAGCCACCCAGGCACCCACAGACTGGCATTTTGGAAAGCAACATAATTCTAACTAACAAGTGGAGGAGGTCAGGTTGAGCCTGGGAGCTGAGGGGCCTATGAGTCAGTTACAGTCCCTCAAGGAATGATGAGCAGCTGGTCTCTGCTCTAAATGATGTGAAGTCCAAGGAGAAGTACTGGAAATGATCCAGGCTCTGCGCAGGCCCGGCGCCAGGGATTACCCACTGCTGAAGGTATTATATCCAAGGAAACCAGGAGCACCTGCATCCTGGCCCAGAACACAGCTCTCTCTAACCACGGGATTCTCAAGTGCATGATTCTGGATCCCATACACAACGAGCCAGCACCAGGGGAAGCGTAAGGGGAGAGAAAGCAATCAAGAAAGCATGGGTGGTCAGGGGCGCCTGGTGGGCTCAGTCAGTTGAGCGCCTGACTCTTGATTTCAGCTCAAGTCATGATCTCATGGTTCCTGAGATCGAGCCTTGTGTTAGGCTCTGTGCTGACAGGATGGAGCCTGCTTGGAATTCTCTCTCTCTCTCTGCCCCACCCCCACTCTTGTACATGTGTGTATGTGTGTGTGCGTGTGTGTGCATGCGCGCATGCACGCACATGCTCTCTCTCAAGAATAAATAAATTTAGGGGCGGCTGGGTGGCTTACTCGGTTGAGCGTCTGACTTTCGCTTAGGTCATGATCTCGCGGTTCGTGGGTTCAAGCCCCGCGTCGGGCTCGTGCTGACTGCCAGCTCAGAGCCTGGAGCCTGTTTCAGTCTGTGACTCCCTCTCTCTCTGACCCTCCCCTGCTCACGTTGTCTCTCTCTCTCTCCTAGAAATAAATAAAAAACATTAAAAAAAAGATTAAAAAAAAGAATAAATAAATTTAAAAACATATATATACGTATACACACACACACACATACACACACATATATATATAAAGAAAGTATGGGGGCGCCTGGGTGGCTCAGTCGTTAAGTATCTGACTTCAGTCAGGTCCTGATCTCGCGGTTCGTGGGTTCAAACCTTGCATCGGGTTCTGTGCTGGCAGCTCAGAGCCTGGAGCCTGTTTCAGATTCTGTGCCTCCCTCTCTCTCTGCCCCTTCCCCGCTCATGTTCTGTCTCTCTCTGTCTCAAAAATAAATAAACTATTAAAAAATTAAAAAAAAAAAAGAAAGTATGGATGTTCACAATGCCAGGAAGGAAGACCAATAAGATGGTCAAAAGGAGAAGCACTGCCCTTTTTGGCTACTGGTCAGGGAGCTGAAGGGTCACAGCAGAATGGACCCCCAGGCAAGTGAAATGACTATCTACTGCCTGAGGGCAGGACTGTTCCAAAACGATGTGTTTTCTCCTGGCCTCAGATAGTACAGCTAATGGCTCTGGGCCCTTGAGGACTTACAGGTTAGGCTTGCTGATGGAGGCAAAATAGCTACCTTTTTCTGGAGCTTGTGATGGGAACAAAGTGCTGAGGGCTGTGTAGGGCCTGTTGCATCCTCACTACAAGCCACAAGGTAGGTACTGTCATCCCAAATTGTGTAAGTGAGGACAGAAGGGAACCAGACAAAGCCGAGACAGTTAGAAAGGATGAGGAAACATAGAATCTGAAGAACAGGCTCGGGCTATGTAGGGTGGGAGCCAACACGAAGGAGAGTGGAATGGAGAGACATGGAGAGATGTATTAGGAACAGTCTCCTCCAATAAAAAGGTCTCAAAGGGCCAAACAAGCAGCTTTATCCTATACAGCCATGGTCTTGAAACTCTTCTGCTCACAGAGCCTGTCAGTGGACAATACATGTGCATTGATCTATCTATGAATTGTATACAGGTACTGCTGGACTCAACATACCATAAATGAGTACAAGAATAGAAATTACGAAGGGGATGACATAACCATATTACCGGAAGCTCTAATATTTCCTTTCTATACCCCGGTGGGCTGTCTTGCCTATAATTTTAAAGTTTTAATCAAAAAGGACACGGAGGCAAATAAAATTTCTATGCTCCATGTAAGGAGAAGTGCAGGGCTCTCTGGATACATCTTGTTAATGCTCAGGGGTGCTGGGGGCTGGCTCAATCGGTTAAGTGTTGGACTTTGGCTCATGGTTCACGAATTCCAGCCCCATGTTGGGCTCCGCGCTGACCATGAGAAGTCTGCCTGAGATTCTCGCTCCCTCCTCTCTCCCTGCCCCTCCCCTGCTCGCACTTCCTCTCTCACTCTCAGAATAAACAAACTTAAAAAAAGAAGTTAATGTTGATAAATAATAATGGCCTTTATTTGCTGGGGTGCGACTGAGTACCAGGTCGTGAGGATGCTGAAAGCTAGGTGCCTGCCCCGGGTCAGGCACACCCCCCGCTGAGGCTCTCCGGAGACACGCTGGGGGGTGCTCAGCAGGTCCAGGGGTGAGGCTGTCCTGATGTCCCTGTGTCCGTGTGTCCCTCCAGGTGCCATGCCTCTACGAGTCTTCCTGCTTCTGGTTTTGCTGGGCTCTGGCAGTGGCCTCCAGCTGTGGGAGATACGGGAGGATGGAAGCAAGGAGGCCCCAGACTCTCTGCTTGTGCGGGGCCGGAGAGAAGTAAGGGAGGACACGGAAGACGACATATATGACTACATGGGCACGGACCCCCCAGAAACGCTGTTTACAACCATCCCTGGACCTGTGGGCCTGACCTCCAAGCTTCTGGCTGAGATGGCCACACTGGGGCGGAAGGGTTCTGGAACTCCCACAGACACTCCGCAGGCAGCCACGGGGGCCTCCATCAGCCTGGACGCAAGAGGGATGGCTATGGGGAATCTGAGCATGGAACCCACACAGGGGGTTCCTGTCACACTGGACCCTCTGAGCAAAGAACAGGTCACTGCGTCACCTCCCATCACAGAGTTTCCATCCACAGAGGGGGCTCCGTTCACAGAACTGGCCACCATTGAGGTCCTATCCACGGGGCCACCAGACACAGAGGCAATGACCACGCAACCTCCAGCCACAGAGGTACTGGCCACACAACCTGAGGCCACAGAGGCCCTGTCCACGGGGCCAGCAGCCACAGAGGCACTGGCCACGGAACCTGCGGTCACAGAGGCACTGGCCACACAACCCAAGGCCACAGAGGCCCTGTCCAGTGAGCCACCAGACACAGAGGCACTGACCACGCAACCTGCAGCCACTGAGGCCCTGTCCACAGGGCCACCAGACACAGAGGCAATGACCACGCAACCTGCAGCCACAGAGGTACTGGCCACACAACCCGAGGCCACAGAGGCCCTGTCCACGGGGCCGGCAGCCACAGAGGCACTGACCACACAACCTGTGGCCACAGAGGCCCTGTCCACAGGACCAGAAGCCACAGATGCTCTGTCCACGGAGCACACTGCCACAGAGGCCCTGTCCACAGATCCTGCCACCATGAAGGTCCCATCCACAGGTCCTGTGACCACTTGGCGCCTAACCATGGCCCTGCTTGTGCCCTCTGATCCTCACAACAGCACCGCCATGGCAGTAGTCAATTCATCTGATGGCTTCATCAGACAATGGAAAGATCAGCAGGGTCTCTCCCCCAAGAGCCCTGTGGCCCCCACGGCCACGGAGGCCCTGGACCGCATCCCTGTGAAGCAATGCTTGCTGGCCATCCTCATCCTGGCCCTGGTGGCCACTGTCTTCCTTGTGTGCACGGTGGTGCTGGCTGTCCGCCTCTCTCGCAAGAATCACATGTACCCGGTGCGCAATTATTCCCCCACGGAGATGGTCTGCATCTCGTCCCTGCTGCCTGAGGGGGGCGAAGCGCCCGGAGCCACGGCCAACGGGGACCTGCCCCATGCCAAGAGCCAGGACCCGAAGGCGGGGCCTGGGGAGGGCCGCGAGGGGGATGACCTCACCTTGCAGAGTTTCCTCCCTTAGCCCCCCACTCCCCTGCTCATCCACCCGAACGGGACCCTGGCCTCCTCGCCCGCTCCGAGGCCCGCTGGGCCACCACTGAGCACCCAGGTGCTGCTCCACGGGTCTGGGCTTCCTTGGGGCGCCTAGGGAGGCGGAGCTCTAGGGCAGCTCCCCCGGGGGTGCCCCACAGGACGGAGAGCCGATGCACTGCGGCCAAAGCAGGACTGTGAGCCACCTCATCCTCCTTCTGGCCTCCAGGGGACCCGGGAGATCCCCCCACCTGTCCCCCACCTGCCTAGGCTCCCTCTAATGCTTTCCTCGGCTAGAGCCTCGTCCCCAAGCACCCAGGGAGGACCCTCCCACCCCCATTTTCTTCTGGTTGCCGTGGTCACCACGCAGGAAAGGGGCATTTTGGGGGGAGGAGTGCTGAAATCTGAAGGCCATTCCCTGTCCCTCTCCGACTTGGGGCAGCTTGGGTTTTCTTGGGCGTCTCCCCAGGGAGCCAAGCACGAGACCCTGGCCCAGGAGGGCTGGGGCGGGCTTGGAGAGCCCAGGACTATACCTTTCTTCAAGGCTGTGTGCATCATCGAGCTCCCTTTGGGGACAGAGTAACCCTGAGGCTGCCCTCTCTCATCTGCAGAGCGTCCACGTTCAGGGTGGGCTGTCTTGTTCACCGAAGCATCCCGCTGCCCACGCCTGGGGCAGCACAGGCACTCAGTAAATATTCGAGGAACTGCTGGCGGGTGACTGCTTCAGGGCCTCAAGGTGCTTCCTTCTGCTGGGGCGCTGGTCCCTTGCTGCTTGCCCCCAGCCCCGGCCCCACCCCCCTCCAGGAAGCCCCCCGTCTGGGTCTTAAGTTGACTTTGGTATTGCCTCTTGGACACTGGGGCCATCCTGGTACATCCCTGGGCAGGCTGTTGGGATGAGGGAACTGGTTCTGAATCGACTTTATTCAACTCCCCCCACGACCTGGTCCTGGCGTACAGAATTTGGTCCCCGTCCCAACTGTGACAAATGCGTCCTCTCAATATCAATGCCATCCTCACCGGAACCCTCCCCCCCGACTCCCCTTGAGGGGCGCTGTCTCCCATTTAACACCCACTCCTCACAGGGCGGAGCACAGCTGCGGCCTACAGGGTTTTTGTACAAAGTTTGGGGCCGGCAAACTTTTTTTTTTAGTGGCCAGACCAAAACTACGCTTTGCAGACCACGTGGTCTCTGTTGTAACTTGTCAGCTCCGTCCTTGGTCCTCGTAGGTTGAGCGTGGTCACTGGCAATGTGTCACAAATGTTCTAATAAAACTTTATTTACAAACGAGTGGCAGGCTGGGTTTAGCTCTGTGTTCGCCGAGCCCTTAATTGAGTGCCGGGTAAGTGGATGGCCTGGTTTGCGCGGGACGTTGCTGAATTTATAGCACCAGGAGCCCTATCCTGGGGGACACTCCTCAGCCCCATCAAATCAAGAAGTTGGTGGCCCTATTTAAGCAACACCCACCGTGTGCACGCATTACCGCCTTCGGACCCACGCTGACCCCGAGGGTCAGATCAGAAAGCCAAAGCTTCGACAGTGGCTTCAACAGTGGCTGAGCCAGGGGGTGCCTGGTGGCTTAGTCGGTTCAGCGTCCGACTTCATTCAGCTCAGGTCACGATCTCACAGTTCACGGGTTCAAGTCCCACATCGGGCTGTGTGCTGACAGCTCAGAGCCTGGAGCTGCTTCGGATTCTGTGTCTCTCTCTCTGATCCTCCCCTGCTCGTGCTCTGTCTCTCTCTTCTCTCTCAAAAAAACAAAAACAAAAACAAAAAAACAGTGGCTGAGCCAGAATTCAGACCCAGGATCTTCTGACTCTTGATGTTTTGTTTTGTTTTTTTTTATCAGAAAGAACTACCGCTTCAAGCTCACTGTTCTACCTTCTGGGAGAGGAATTCAACTCATCTTGGCAGACGTTTTCTCTCCTAGAAAAATACCTCCAGCGGCTTCTTTGGGAGTGCTGGACCCTTCACTTCAGGGGATAGCCTGCAAGAGAGAGTTCAAAGACAGGGCTGAATCTGGGGTGTGTTGGCTAAAGCTGGAAAGGGGGTGGGAGAGACGGGGGGCCGGCAGGAGGGAACGGGGTGGGCTGCGGGCAGTGGGGGCAGATTGGTGAGAAGAGTGGAGGATTGTCTGCCTCACCCCCTTTCTAGAACAAGTGTGACACACGTGGTGTTCAAGGCACTTTGGCGGGAGAGCAGTGCCCACCCTGGGCCAGGGCTGCTGAGCCTGGAAAAGGCAGACTTGTGCGTTAGGGGAAACGTGGGCACCCTTGCCCTTTGGGAGCGATGAGAAAAGTCATGTGGGGGGGACTCGATGTCCTGGAGCTGGGGACACAGAGGCTGAAGGACTTGGGGGACAAATGTCCCTCTGGGGTCTCGTCACCCTGTCCTTCTGGGCAGGGAGCAGGTCTCCATGTCCCCCCCCCCCCCCACTGGAGGACACAGTGACCGCAGAGGACTCCCCCTGGCGGTTTTCTCGCTCTCTCCAAGGCACTGAAGTCTGGGGAATGACAGGTGCTTGGAACAGCCACCAGGTGGCGCCCGCCACCAGCTCGTGGAGCTCTTGAAAGGGGGGCGCTTCCCAGCCTTGAGGATGAAGGAGCCAGGATTTCAGCCAGGAGCAGGCTGCTAGCCCAGGAGGGTGCTGGTGAGTGTGTTTAACCTCCGGCTCGCTGGGTAGATTTGCATCCCAGCCGTGATTTGCGAGGTTTGCCAATTTCCTTGGTGTAAATACTCCCGTGGCGGATTCTGAGCAACCAACTGTGTATATAGCAAGTGAGACAATAAATATAAATAATCTCAAGAACATAGAATAATAGAATGTAGTCAAATAATTAGGAAGCAAATGCGCTTTGAGTGTTAGAGGACCTTGGATTTTAGTTTTGTTTTTTTGTTTTGTGTTTATTTTTGAGCGAGAGAGAATATGAATAGGGAAGAGGCGGAGAGAGAATCCCAAGCAGGCTCCACACAGTCAGCACAGAGCCCGATGTGGGGCTTGAACTCATCAACTGTAATCATGACCTGAGCTGAAACCAAGAGTCGGACATTTTAACCGACTGAGCCACCCAGGCGCCCCAGACCTTGTTTTTTTTTATAATTTAACTTATTAAACAACTGGCTTACAAAATTCTGAAAATCTAACAGTTGGCACTCAGAGACTGCTATAGGCTGGCTCCTGTGTCCCACTGTGCCCTCCTTCTGCCTGGACCTCCCCTTGACCTTAAAACATCACCACCCGAATCACCCCCTTCATCCATTCAGCAAATATATTCTGAGCACAAACATCTGCAATATCTCCAGGAATCCCCTCAAACAGCCTGGGAAGGAGGAACTCATATTCTCATTTTACAGAAGAAGAGACTGAGGCTCAGAGAGGCGAAGCCACCTGTCTCAGGTCACCCATAGGATCTGGGACTGGAACTCAAGCCTGAATCCAAAAACCATGTTCCTATCACAATGTCGTGCTATTCTTGAGGTCACAGTGGGGTTCTGGGGGAATGCCATGTCCTCAAACTCTCACCCCTGCTGACCTGTCCTGGCGCCTGGAAGTCCCCATCAGTCACCCTTGTGGATCCGTGGCTGCTGAGAGAAGGCACTTGGGAGGGTGACAGGCTCAAAGCCAGCTCCCTCCTTGCAGAAAGCAAGAGAGCAATGCTGGGGCCAAAGACAGAGAGGTGGCTGGGGCATTGATTGGGCAGCCAGTGCACGTCCAACCCTATGCCGAACACTTCACCTGCATGATCTACCAGACCTACAACCACCCCATGATGTGGGTATAATTATTACCCCATTTTACTGGTGGGGAAACTGAGGCTCTAAAAGCTGGACCACTTGCCCCAGAAGGTTGCAGTGCTAAGAAAGCAGACTCCACTGACTTCAGCTCTGGCAGCAGGGAAGGAAGGAGGGTAGACAGGAAATCAGGAAATGCCAGGGGAGGAGGTCAGCCCTGCAGTGGCCCGTTGGGGAGCTGATCTGGGCTGCCCTCTACGTCCCACTCCATGTGCCACTCAGCCGACCACGTAACTCGAATGTCATGGTATGTCCGCTCTGTGCTGTGTCCCGGGGATGCCATGTGGGCAAGGCAGGCCTGGGGCTGCCCACTGGGGCTCATCGCCTGGAGGGAGAAAGAGAGATTTGTCAGATGATAGCCCAGAAAGCTATAAGATTGTAGCTGGGTCCGGAGCCCACAGGTGGGGCGGGGGGCGGGGGGGAGAGGAGAGGGCAGTGGTGCTTGCACGTGCAATGTAGCCAGACTTTGGGGGTGGGGTGGGAAGGAGTCAGGAAAAAGTCTGAGGCTGGAAAGGTGCAGAGTTGTGGAGGGTGGGTGGAGGGAGAAGAATGTTCCAGGAACTGAGCACAGTGTAGAGAACGGGGTGTGGACATTGTGAGAATGGACAAGGCAGGAGTGGCGGGAAGGAGCCAGAGTGGCTGCAGGGAGGAGGGCAAGGCTGTGCAAGGATGAAGGGGCCTGGGCCAGAGAAGGAGTGTGAGAAGGTGAGGAGTCCAGAGATAACTGGGAAGGAGAAAGGATAGGAGTTGGTGATGGATTGATTGGCAGGCTGATGAGGAGAGGGAAGGAAGTGAAATCTCATTTGCCACTTGGGTGTGATCCATGGAAGAGGCAGGTTGGGTGGTGGGTTGGGCTTCCGCCATGTCGAGTCTCCAGGGTCTGGTCAATCTCCAGGCGGAATCATCTGGAAGGCTGCTGGAAAACAGGCTCAACGCCATTAACCATCAGGGAAATGGAAATGAAAGCTGCCTGAGATGTCACTTCTTGCCTCCAGAAGTTACTAAAATTGAAGACCGACAGTACCAAGTACTGATGTGGACATAGAGAAGGCAGAACACTCCCGCATTGCCCCCCCAAATGCAGCAGGGCACGGCCACTTGGCAAAGCATAGGGCGGTTTCTTATAAAGTTAGATATATAGTCACCATTTGGCATATTTGTACCAAGTTGCATATCCAGGCAACTTGGAAATCCCTTTCCTAGGTATTTCCGCAAGAGAATGAAGACATATGTGCATGCAAACACCTATAGATAATACATATGAGAGCTTTATTATTAATAGCCAAAAAGCTGGGAACAATCTAAAGATCCATCATCTGGCAAATGAATATATGAACAATAGGACACTACTCAGAATAAAAGGGCATGAACAGTCGATACACGCACAACACGGATGAATCTCAAACACATGTGGTTAAAGGCACCAGACACAAAGGGCAATTTGTCTACTTGGCAGCTTCAATGAGAAGCAGCACTTCTATAGCAGTAGAAATCAGACCAGTGGTTACCCTTGCGGGGGGCAGGGGATAGAGGAAGGGGCTGGCAGGAGCCTTCTGGGGTGACGGAAACATGACATGTCTGGGTGGCGGTCACATGGGATTGTCATTTAACGAAACTTACCCAACTGTTCTCGCCTGACTGGTGCATTTTACTGTGTGCAAAGTGCGTCTCAAGTGCAAGCCAATGAATGAGCCAGCAGGTGCGTTCGTGAGCCTGGGCGCTCCTGAGGGTCTGCTCAGGTGAAGGAGCATGCGTGAGGGTCCAGGGCTTGGGAATCTGGCCCTGAGAAGGCGGGAGGAGGCCACAGCTCCTGGGTCTGTCCCACTCATGTCCTGCGTAGATGCAGCCCTCTTTTCCTTCAGTGGCTGCTCCTGTGCTGAGACACCATCCATGACTCCCTAGTGCCCGCGTACAAAAGACGTTTCCAGTCTTGTCGCTTGCTGGGGATTGACCTAAATGTCTCATGGTCTGGACAGACTGGACTCTTCACTCCTCACCCATGCTTCCTGCCTCTCATCCATCCCCCCCTTCCACTACCTCTCTCTGGGGCTCAGCTCGCCCAGCTCCCCAAGCCCTTCCTGAGCTCTGAGTGGATTCAGCCGTGCCTCTGGGCTCCCTGTTTGCCTGTCCCTCCTGTTCCTGGTACTTTGCCCCAAGCCTGGCTGGCCAACAGATAACTCCAGTTTGTTCTCCTCCACTCCAGGCCTCAATCTCTCCATCTGTACACTGGGTGTCCATATGTCTGCTCATGCCACTGAGTGGCCACTCTTCACTCACCTGTTCCTCCCACTCAGGTGGGGGCCGCACGAGGCAGGGTTAACCTTAACAATGGCAGTAGAGGGGCGCCTGGGTGGCTCAGTTGGTTAAGCGTCCAACTTCAGCTCAGGTCATGATCTCACGGTTCATGGGTTCGAGCCCTGCTTCGGGCTCTGTGCTAACAGCTGCTCAGCGCCTGGAACCTGCTTCAGATTCTGTATCTCCCTCTCTCTCTGACCCTC